AAAATCTCCCAGTAAAAGCACAAAGGAAATTTAAAGCAAATAATAGGAATATTCATGAGAAAATAATAGGACCAAGTCATTGCTTATCAATTATAATCTTGAATGTAAATGGCCTAAACTCTCCAATTAAAAGAAATAGACTGGCTGAATGGATTTTTTAAAAAGATCCATCTATTTCCTGCCTACAAGAAACACATCTCACCAACAAAGATACAGGCAGACTGAAAATGAAAGGATAGAAAAAGATATTCCATGCTAATGGAAAGCAGAAGAGGGAAGGTGTTGCCATCCTAATGTCAGACAAAATAGACTTTAACACAAAAATTGTTAAAAGAGACAAAAAAAGGCACTATGAAATGATTAAGGGATCGATTCAGCAGCAAGATGTGACTGTCATAAATGTATATGCACACAATGTCAGGGCCCCTGGTTATTTAAAACAAATGGATCTAAACAGAGACAAAAACTCTAAAACAATAACAATGGAGGACCCCACTTTAATCAATGAGCAGGTCATCTGGACAGAAAATCAACAAACAACAGAGCTAATCTATACTATGGACCAAATGGACCTAATTGATATTTACAGAACATTTCATCCCACTACGGCAGACTGCACAATCTTTTCATCAATGAATGGGACTTTCTCTAGATAGAACATATACTAGGCTATAAAGCAAATTGCAGAAAATTTTAAAAAATTGAAATCATACCATATATCTTTTCTGATCACAATGGAATGAAGCTGGATATTAACAACTTAAGGAACTCTAGAAAATAAGCAAACACATGGAGACTGAACAACATGAACATGCCCCTGAATGAACAGTGGGTCACAGAAGAAATCAAAAGGGAAATAAAAAAATTCCTTGAAATGAATGAAGATGACAACACAACATATGAAAATTTATGGGATACAGCAAAAGCAATGTTAAGAGGTAAGTGTAAAGCATTTAATGCCTACATCAAGAAGTGGTAAAGGCATCAAATAAATGAGCTATTAATACATCTCAAGGTCCTATAAAAACAACAACAAATAAAACCACAAATTATAAGGAGGAAAGAAATAATTAAAATTGGAGAAGAAATAAACAAAATTCAACTAAAAATTATACAGAATATCAATGAAATGAAGAGCTGTTTTTTTTTAATAAAATTGTCTCATCATTGACCCAACTAACTAAAAAATGGGTGAGAAGACCCAAATCAATAAAATCAGAGATGAAAAAGAAGATGTAACAACAGATACCATAGAAATAAAAAGCATCATCAGGAAGTACTACAAACAGCTATATGCCAACAAGTTGGAAAATACAGAAGAAATGGATGTATTTCTGGACATATATAATCTACAAAAATTGAGTCATGAACACATAGAAAACCTAACAGACCAACAAACAAGACAGAAATTGAATCAGTAATGAAGACCCTCCCAAAAAAGAAAAGTCTATGACCAGATGGTTTCACTGCTGAATTCTATCAAACTTTTTTAAATTATTTATTTATTTGAAAGGCAGAGGTACAGACAGAGAAAGAGAGACAAAGGTCTTCCATCTGCTGGTTCACTCCCCAAATGGCCACAACAGCCATGGCTGGGCCAAGCCAAAACCAGGAGTCAGGAGCTTCTTCCATGTCTCCACATGGATGCAGGGGCCCACACATTTGGGCCATCCTCTGATGCCTTCCCAGGCACACTAGCAGGTAGTTGGATTGGAAATGGAGTAACCAGGACTCAAACAAGTGCCCACATTGGATGCTGGCACTGCAGACTGCTGCTTCACCTGCTGAGCCACAGCAGTGGACCCTCTACTAAACTTTTAAAGAACTAATTCCAATGCTTCCCAAACTATTCAAAACAATTAATAGATAGAGAATCCACTCAAACTCCTATGAGACAAGCATCACCTTAATTCCAAAACCAGAAAAAGAATATCCCTGATGAGCACAGACGCAGAAATGCAAAACAAAATACTAGCTAATCAAATCCAACAACACATCAGAAAGATCATTCACCCAGGCCAAGTGGGATTTATTGCGGTATGCAGAGATGGTTCAGCATATGCAAATCAATAAATATGATACATCACATTAACAAACTGAAGAACAAAAACCATATGATTATCTCAATAGATGCATAGAAAGCATCTGATAAAATACTACATCCTTTCATGATGAAAACATAAGCAAATTTGATATAGAAGGAACATTCTTCAACAAAACCAAGGCAATATATGACAGACCCACTGCCAACATCATATTGAATTGGGGAAAAGTTGGAAGCATCTCCACCAAGATCCAGAACCAGACAAGGATGCCCATTTTCACCATGGCTATTTAATATAGTCATGGAAGTTTTAACCAGGGCCATTAGTCAAGAAAAAGAAATCAAAGGGATACAGATGAGAAAGAAGAAAGTCAAATTGTCCTTGATTTCAGATACATGATTCTATATAAAGGGGAACCAAAAGACTCCATTAAGACTATTGGAACTCATAAGAGAGTTTGGAAAAGTTTCAGGATATAAAATCAACACACAAAAAAATCAGTAACCTTTGTGTACACAATGATATGGCTGAGAAAGAACTTGTAAGATCAGTCCCATTCACAATAGCTACCAAAAACCTAAACACCTTGGAACACATTTAACCAAGGACATGAAAGACCTGTACAAGGGAAATCACAAAACGTTGAAGAAAGATACAGAAATAGACACAAAAAATGGGAAAATCTTCATGTTTGTGGATTGGAAGAATTAATATCATCTAAATGTCCATTCTACCAAAAGCAATTTCAGATTCAATGTGATAGAAATACCAATGACATTCTTCTCAGATCTAGAAAAAATGATGTTAAAATTTGTATGGAAATACAAGAGACCCAAAATAGCTAAAGCAATTTTAAACAACTAAAACAAAGCTGGAAGCAACAAAATACCAGACTTCAAGACATACTACATGGCAGCTATAATCAAAACAGCCCGATACTGGCACAAGAATAGACATGTAGCTCAATGGAACAGAAATTAATCCATGCATCTATAACCAATTCATCTCTGACAAACAAGCTGAAATCAAATTTTGAAAGAAGGACAATCTCTTCAACAAATTGTGCTGGGAAAATTGGATCTAGACATGCAGAAGTATGAAACAAGATTCCTACCTTACACCTTATAGAAAAATAAAATTAAAATAGATCAAGGATCTAAATCTACAGCCTGATACCATCAAATGACTAGAAGAAACATCAGGGAAACTCTGCAAGACATTGGCATAGGCAAAGATGGGGAAGTGAGGGAAGTGTGACTGTCTTCTTGGAACTGTGCATAAAATCTGTTCTGTTTATATTAATAATTTTTTGAAAAGGAGAACCTACAAATAAAATTTACCAAGAAAATTAAAGGGGCAAATTCTGAATATGAACATTTTAGATTATCTATGATACTATGCAGGGCTCCTATGAGTATCAACCCATTTTGAAATGCAGGGGGGAGCTGGCACTGTGTCGTTACAGGTAAAGCTGCTGCCTGCAGTGCGGGCAGCCCATATGAGTGCCGGTTTGATTCTCAGCTGCTCTACTTCCAATCCAGTTCTCTGCTATGGCCCAGAAAGCAGTGGAAAATGGCCCAAGACCTTGGGCCCCTGCACCCATGTGGGAGACCCAGAAGAAGCTCCTGGCTCCTGGCTTCAGATCGGCACAGCTCCAGATATTGCAGCCATGTGTGGAGTGAACCAGCAGAGGGAAGACTTCTTTTGTCTCTCTCTCTCTGCCTCTGCCTCTCTGTAACTACCTTCAAATAAATAAATACATCTTAAATAAGAAAAAAGAAACGTTGAGAGGATAGATTATTTCTTAAGAAACTAAGAAACACCAGAATCCATTATCTAGGTTCATCATGATCATTTTGTGTTGTAAGAATATATGAAAGGAAACCATGGAGTCACTCAGATTTTTTAAGTCATTTCTCTCTCCTATCTCTTGAGTTTGTAGAGATATTAAAGCAGCTTTCGGGACCGGTGCTGTGGTGCAGTGAGTTAAAGCACTGGCCTGAAGTACTGGTATCACATATGGGCGCCAGTTCGAGACCTGGCTGCGCCACTTCCAATCCAACTCTCTGCTATGGTCTGGGAAAAGATGGTAGAAGATGGTAAAAGATGGCCCAAGTGCTTGAGCCCCTGCACCCACGTGGGAGACCCAGAAGAAGCTACTGGCTTTGGATCGGCCAGACTCCAGCCGTTGTGGCATCTGGGGTGTGAACCAGAGGATGGAAGACCTCTCTCTGCATCTCTACCTGTCTCTGTAATTCTATCTTTCAAATAAATAAAATAATAAAAAAAAAAAAGTAGCTTTTTTTTTTTTTTGACAGGCAGAGTGGACATTGAGAGAGAAAGAGACAGAGAGAAAGGTCTTCCTTTGCCGTTGGTTCACACTCCAATGGCCGCCGTGGCCGGCGCACTGCGCTGATCCAATGGCAGGAGCCGGGTACTTATCCTGGTCTCCCATGGGGTGCAGGGCCCAAGGACTTGGGCTATCCTCCACTGCACTCCCTGGCCACAGCAGAGAGCTGGCCTGGAAGAGGGGCAACTGGGACAGAATCCGGCGCCCCGCCCAGGACTAGAACCCGGTGTGCCGGCGCCGCAAGGCGGAGGATTAGCCTAGTGAGCCGTGGCGCCGGCCTAGTAGCTTTCAACCTTTTATCCATCAGAGCCTCAGGGACAAATTCACACCAAGCTCAACATAGCTCTTTTCGTAACTATTTAAGATCCGCATATGAAAATGTATAATGAGTCCGGACGGCGCCACGGCTCACTAGGCTAATCCTCTGCCTGCGGCACCAGCACCCCAGGTTCTAGTCCTGGCTGGGGTGCTGGATTCTGTCCTAGTTGCTCCTCTTCCAGTCAGGCTCTCTGCTGTGGCCCAGGAGTGCAGTGGAGGATGGCCCAAGTGCTTGGGACCTGCACCTGCATGGGAGACAAGGAGGAGGTACCTGGCTCCTGGTTTTGGATCAGCACAGTGTGCCAGCCTTAGCGGCCATTGGGGGGGTGAACCAACAGAAAAGGAAGACCTTTCTCTCTGTCTCTCTCTCTCTGTCTCTCTCTCTCACTAACTCTGCCTGTCAAAAAAAATGTATAATGTGTGATCATGATTTTTCATCTGAAATTTTATTGAAATGTACACACACATAAATGTGTTTTGCTAGCATAACAATCTTTTAAAAAGAAGTAAAGGAGTGACATTGTTAGGCACAGATCCTAACCAGCATCACAGAATTTTTTTATAGCTACAATTCTGGGTTGACTTTGTCCAGATTACTAAGAATGGACAGACAAATATCTAGGGAAGGCGGGGGGAGGACTTCAGCTTGTGGAATGATTGTTAACACAAAAGTAAAAGACGGTGTTTTATATTTGTCAAAAGGAACCCCTCAATAAAAAACAAAGGCCAAGGTCAAGGCCAAAACACATCAAACAACAAGCCAGTCCCTGTAGCTACCCTAACTGGTCAATTTAAGTCAAAAGTTGAGGTAGAAACAAAGTATGTGAAAAAAGAAAATGCTAGAACACACTCATGCTCTAATACTTCATTAGATAATTAAGTAGCAAGCATGAAAGCTTATCTGAAGTCTCCAAGATAAAACATACCTTGGGGATGGCACTGTGGTGCAGTAGGTTGATCCTCTGCCTGCAGCACCAGCATCCCATATAGGCGCCAGTTCTAGTCCCAGCTGCTCCTCTTCTGATCCAGCTCTCTGCTATGGCATGGGAAAGCAGTAGAAGATGGCCCAAGTGCTTGGGCCCCTGCACCCATGTGGGAGACCCAGAAGAAGCTCCTGGCCCCTGACTTCGGATCAGCGCAGCTCCGACCATTGTGGCCATTGGAGAGTGAACCAGCAGACAGAAGACATTTCTCTCTGTTTCTCCCTCTCATTGTCTGTAACTCTACTTCTCAAATAAATAAATAAAATCTTTTTAAAAAATCACACAAAAAAAAACCCCCACTAAACATTCCCATCTCTTTCCACTGGAAGCCATCATCCAACATCCCATCAGTAGTACATTCTCCAAAATGTCTGCGAGAAGTTTGGCAATCAAATGAGCTTTTCAGAACAAAAGGAATCTAAGCTCTCCCATCTGGTGACTTTCCTTAGACTGGAGACAAGAAGTTTGGAAATAATTACTTATCCAGAAAATAAAGGTTCAAAAATCATTTTTCCCCAGTCATCTTGACCTTAACATCTTGCAAATGAATAAGATGTGCCACTTCCATTTCACAAATGAACGAGAAAGCCAGAAGTCAAACCGGGAGGTACAGGAACCCCACGATGTCCTTGCTGATGTTGGAAGGTCAGAAGGGGCATGTGCACACTGGACTAGTCCAGTCTCTAGGGGGCATGCCCCACAGCCTGCAACCCCCTGTCGCTCCCACCTCACAGTCCTTACACCGGTCTGGCCATGCTATGCAATCCAGTGTTGCCCACCCTACCACTCTCCTTCCCCCTCCTCTCCTCTCCCCAAGTCTCTCTCCTGCAACCACTCAAACTTCTGCCCAGGGCTCACTTCTCCATACATCTTTGGGACTAATTCACTCACATATTTCCATCCTCAGTTCCAATGCATTTTTCTGTTCAGGCACCTCCTGACTATTCTGTTTTAAATGGCAACCAGTCATGTTCCAATCTGCTGTCTACATCCTGATCTCCTTGCTCTGCTCATACATTTCACACGGCATACATGCCTTCTTTATTTCCTATAATTTACCAAGGTTTCTTTCTGTTGTTTGTCTTAGGGATTCCCTGAAAGTAAACCTAAGATAAAGCATTGGGTATATGTCATTTACCTAGGAAGTGATTCCAGGAATAAGGAGTGAGATGGAGAAGGATGAAACACCACAATAAAGAAATAGACATGACTGAGGTCACTGCTGAAGACAACTGGCATTTGGTGATGTAGGGGTTCCTGTGATCAGAGTACAGAATGCCTCTGGGAAGTGTGTTCCTGCAGGAAGAGAGGCTGCTGTGTTCATCTCCCGGTTCTCACCTCTCACTGGTTCATTTAAGACACTGGAGTCATTGTATCCGTTCTCTTCCAATCAGTCTCCCACAAGTAGGGGAGCCCTGGAGAGGGAAAGTGGAGAGGCATCCTGGGTGTTCTCTGCCGTGCACTTCCTGGGAGAGATGAGTCTGCCCCCTCTTGGACTGTCTACCACAGCCACAGCTGCAATCAAAGTAAAGCCAAGAGGAACAACAGGGGAACCCAGGACGTTTGCTTAGGTAAGGTCCTCCTAGACACACAACATTTTTGTCTCTTGGGGTGATAGATGAAGGATCTAGAACAATATCCAGCATGTAGTGGTTATTTAATAAAAACGCTTGAAAGTTAACTGACTCAGGACTGTTGTTGTAATGCATGGGGCTAGAGGACCCATATTGGTACCCAATCATAAAGAAAAGATTGAAGGTAAATAGCAGGTCCCACATCCAGGGGCCCTTGCACTGGTGTAAGTGCAGGATTCAAAAAAGGACCAGTTGCCAGGGAGCCGGCGGTTGAGAGATTGAAACCCTCTGGGGCTGAAGTTGCTCTGACAGCTGTGGAATAGGAGGAAGAAGAGACTCTGTCAGCTGCAGATTGGAATAAAAGAGGTGCTGTTGGTAGTTATTAGTTCATCGATGGATCACTTACCTTTTAAACTAGGCTGACTTCAGCCTTTAACTGAGCATTTTAAAAATTGCCTTTGAACCCCCTTTTTTTTTGCAGACAATAAGGCTTCCATAAAGACACAATAAGTTGCAAGAAAGAAATGTCACACATTGAGCCATGCTCTTCTTTGATCCTTGCTATTTTAACCTTCCACTTGACGATATTAACATACGCATTCGTTATTTTGCTATTTTGGTTGTCTTCCCCCACAACTTTAAATCATACTTGCACTCCAACACAAGAATGTTGCTTTCACTATTTCCAGAAAAAGAGAAAAGAAAAAAAGAAAAAAAAAACTCTTAAGCCTATTTACAGCCAATATAAAAAGAGAGAGGGATTTGATTCATTTTCGAAGAAGTTTTTTATAGTAGGGAAATGTGACCATCTAGTTTGGCAAATGTTTTCACTGAATTAAAGAAATCTTCAAAGGAATAGAAATTCCCCCAAACTATTTAAAATCTTCATAACGGACCTCCCACAAATGATAACTTCTTTAAAGTAGAAATTCCCCTAAAGATGCACAAATCTTCAAAAAAGAATACCCCTCAAATGATTAGAACCTTACCGAGTTCCATCTGGATTTGAGTTCCAATAATAAGGGTCAGAACCTTGTCCATACCTAGTAAAAAAAAAATACTGTAAGAAAGCACATTTTTTAGTATTTCCAGATGTAGATGGAAGATTTTCGTTTTGAAATACAATGAGAAAACTTTTTCATGCTATTTTGGAACCGATAGAGAGGCCAAAGCAGGCAGAGAAAGTTACTTGAAACTGGGCAAGCTGAGGAGACTTGAAAGCAGGTGAATGTGAATCCAGGTTTGTAAACCAGGGTGTGCCTCTTCCACTCTCTGCCCGTGTCCCTTTTTTTTAAGCTCATTTTCATTGATCAGAGTATTAACATCAGGGACATGTTGTGTTGAAGCTGCATTTGACTGTAAAATGACAGGTCAAAAGCAGCCAAGGGACAAAACGAAAATGGAAAAAAAGATGTACACCTACACCCAGGAGCACACACACTCACACCTCTTTCTCGGCTGGTAGGTTACTCATCTGTGTTTAGTTTCATACACGTTTTGCAAAGACAAAATGGCAGCTGGGTCTTACAGCCTCTCAGCACAAACGGCCTAATGGCCTCACTGCACAGCTTTCAGCCTTGGTAGGAAGCTCTGACTCCTCACTGCGCACCCCCTCCTGACACATGCCTGCCATCCCCCAAGGACGCAGGGCCTGTTTCTACTCCCTCCCAACAAAAACTCTAACAGAGCCCTTGAAAACAAGGGACAGGTCTACACATTTCAATGTGCATGTCCATAGAAACCAGAGTTGCGTATCTCCATCACCATGGTGCGTTTGCCTTGTCTCATGGTCGCACTTTTAAGGGGTTTCTGGGTTTGTTTTCTTATTGTTATTCGTGTTTTTGGTTTTCTTACAGCTACATTCTCCCAGTGACTTTCCTCAAGATTCTCATTTTTCTGAGTCATACAAAAGGCATTCTAAGAATTCTAGAACTCTCTGGAAAAATGAGTGACCAAGCAGAACTTGCAGGACTTACCACTCACCACTCAAGCAGCCCTTAGTCTGAAACCTGTTAAGATTTCCCAAGACAGAGACCCTTCTTGATTCAAAGCCATTTAGCTGTCACTAAAAGTCCATTTCGCTAGCCCTTACCTTATTCCTTCGTGAGCTCTGTTCATTCAGTGACCAGACTATTTGCAAAAGCTCTCGGAGTGGGAGCAAAGCTGGGTCCTGGATGCTGAGCAGACTTCCTGTAGGTCAGAGGTGTGGGGTGATCGTGGAGATGGTGCACCTGCAAGGAACCCAAAATTATTTCCCCCTTTCCTTGGCGTGGACACTATAGCTCCTGCATTGGGGATAGTAGTAGTGACAATTTCATAGAGTTGTTTTGGAATCAAGTAAGTTTTTTTTTTTTAAAGTATAGTGTTGAGACCAGTGCTGTGGCACAGCAGGTTAAAGCCATGGCCTGAAGTGCCAGCATCCCATATGGGCGCCAGTTCTAGTCCCAGATGCTCCTCTTCTGACCCAGCTCTCTGTTATGGCCTGGGATAGCAGTAGAAGATGGCCTAAGTCCTTGGGACCCTGCACCCAAGTGGGAGACCTGGAAGGAGCTCCTGGCTCCTGGCTCCTGGCTTCGGATCAGCTCAGCTCCGGCTGTTGCAGCCATGTGGAGAGTGAACCAGATGATGGAAGACCTCTCTGTATGACTCTACCTCTCTCTGTGACTCTGTCTTTAAAATAAATAAAATAAATCTTTTTTTTAAAAAAAAAGTATAGTGTTTGGATTATGCAAGGCGAAGTGTACACGCTTGGGAAAATATTAGTTATTTTTACGCAACTGTGTCTTTGTTCCAAATATTCTGCCTTCTAACACTTCCCTTGCCGCTGTGTCTGATCTACCTGGCCTCTCTGCATCCTTGCCCGGGAGTTTGCACCTCGCCCCAGAAAAGGAGCAATTTTCTGTCTTTTCCACAGTGCTTACAGATTGTGCCTTTTCTGCTTCATTTATCCCAGACTTGGAATCCTTCACATTTCAAGGCTATTGATGCTGTGCTTTGAGCAAAGTTGAATCCATGTGGCTGTGGATTCTGAGCCCCTGGACTTGGCTCCTGCTAGGTCTGGAGAGCCCATTACATGCTCAGAAATTCTCTGAGCTGGGGTGAAACCATTGGTAGCTGGCAGTGGGCTGTGGTGCTAGGGCAGGAACATTTACACCATGGAAATTGGCAGATGCTACCATTCACGGCTTTGTTTTGAGAGCCAGTTCCCCAGCACACCACTAATCTCAATCATGTCCTTGCATCTGGTCTATATCTTGTCACAGTCTCTTTTTGCTGGCTCTAGGCCTTGCTACCACCCAGTTCTTGAGCTTTGCAAGACCCTGGAGAATCAGAGATGAGGCAAGCCTAGAATCAGAACAATTCACCTCTGGCCAAGGTCAACCGCTCCAAGCAGAAGTAGAAAGCCTGGGCAGGAAACAGGGGCTGAGAAGGGAGAAGCTAGGGGCAGGGGTGGGGGGGGGGGTGTGCTCTCTGTAACGGAAAACATGGAAGGCAAGGTTAGGAGAGAAGTTCAGGTTAATCCCAGCCGCTCTGAGAAGCAAGCCAGGGTTCAGCGTTGGAGTCAGATCTTGATGCAAGGAGATGTGTCTGCTCACACAAAGGGGTGATGGGAAAAGTCAATTTTGTGCTCTGTTTTTTGAGACTCTGAGCAGGAGCCTCGTTTAGAGGAGAATCTCCCCAGGGAAGCCAGAACACAGCTGACAAATACAAGGGTAACAAATCTTTGCTGTGCCTTCCTTTCTAAGTACCCATGCGCAAGTTACTCAACACCTCCTCTCTCACCAGCCTCCCTCTCTCCACCCTGACATCCTTGAGTGATCCTGGGCCTGGGGAAGTTGGGGTTCTAGCCACTTCCTTCCCGACAAGAAGCTCGGGGTGTTCACAAAGGTGACCAGCCACATGGTGAGACAGTGCCCAGGCTCTCTGAGCATCAAACAGACCTCCTCAGGATACTTCCCTGCCGCTGGGTGCCTCCTGCCTGTTTCTAGCTCTTGACAGCTTCTATTCATGATTTGCACAGGTCAAAATATGTGATGCATTTTCTCTGGCTCAAAGTAGTTGCTGAGGACAATTTTAGAGTACATATTTGAAAAGCAGCCCAACTCACTCATCAGTTAAGAATTGTCTACACCAGAGGCCAGTATTATGGTGCAGCACGTTAAGTCACCACTTGTAGTGCTGGCATTCTAGTAGTGCTGGTTCAAGACCTGATTGCTCCACTTACTATCCAACTCTCTGCCAATGCACCTGGGAGGGGCAGCAGAAGATGACCCAAGTGTGTGAGTCCCTACCACACATGAAGTAGAAGGCACAGATGAAGCTCCTGGTTCCTGGCTTCAGCTTGGCCCAGCCCTGGCAGTTGTGGCCATTGGGGAAGTGAACCGGTGCAGAGCACATCTCTCTCCCTGCCCTTCTCTCTCTTTCCCTGTTTCTCTGTAACTCTGCCTTTCAAATGAATAAGTCAATCACTAAAAAACAACAAGAAATTAATTACCCCCACTAAAAATATGAACCAGCTCTCCCTCTTCTAGGAATATATCTGAAGGAAATTCAGGTAGTGCAAGAAAGAGATGCCTGGGGACTGGCACTGTGGCGTAGCAGGTTAAGCTACCGCCTGCAGTGTCAGAATCCCATATGGGCACTGGTTCGAGTCCCGGCTGCTTCACTTCCAATCCAGCTCTCTGCTATGGCCTAGGAAAGCAGTGGAAGATGGCCCAAGTGCTTGGGCCCCTGCACCCCCATGGGAGACCTGGTATATGCTCCTGGCTCCTGGCTCTGGATCAGCACAGCTCTGGCCAATGTGGCCAATTGAAGAGTGAACCAGCAGATGGAAGACCTCTCTCTCTCTCTCTCTCTTTCTCTGCCTCTCCTACTCTCTCTGTGTAACTCTGACTTTCAAATAAATAAATAAATAAATATCAAAAAAAAGAAAGAGATGCCTGCACTTCCAGGTTCATTGCAGCTCTATTTATTGTAATAAAGGTACAGCATCAACCTAGATGCTTATTGATGGATGCATGAATAAAGTACTGGGATACACACACACACACACACACACACACACACATACACGTACAGGAATACTACTCAGCCGTAAAAAGCAATGAAAACCAGACATTTGCAGCAAAATGGAAGGACCAGGAGATAATTATATCAAATGAAAGAAACCAGGCACAAATACCGCAAATTCTCTTGCATACATGGAAATTTTAAAAATTGCAAACAATTTGTGTGTGTCTGTGTCTATTTCTGTGTGTATGTCTGTAGGAGTGTGTGTCTGTGTGTGGGTATATTTGTGTGTATCTGTATGAGTGTGTGTCTGTGTCTGTATGTGACTGCATGTATCTATGTATGTGTGTTTCTGTGTTTATATTTTTCTCTGTGTATGTCTTTATGAGTGTCTGTGTGTCTGTGTCTCCACATCTCTGTGTCTGTGTGTGTATCTCTGTATGAATGTGTGTCTGTGTGTGTTTGCATGTCTATGTGTGTATTTGTGTCTTTCTCTCTGTGTGTATGATCTGAATTTAGAATAGTGATTACTAGGGCCAGATGCTGGAAGAAAGATGTGGGAAGGGTGATGGGGGAGGTTGGATTACGAATACCAAAACCCAGTAGGGTGACTGAGTGTTTCCAGCACAGTGGGATGACTGTAGCTCACAAGAATCTATTATTTATTTTGTGTAAAGAATGGGAACCAATGACCCAATAGGTTCCAAACACAAAGATCAGATAATAAAACGGAAAGGTTCATTGTCTGGTATGATTGGGTTTTGCGGTGTGTACGTGTTGAAGTACTTCACTCTTCGCCTTAAACCTGTACATTTTTTACATGTTAATCCAAAATTTAAAAATAAGCAACTAAGGGGCTGGCACTGAGGTGCAGCAGGATGACCCACCACCTGTGACACCAGCATCCCACATCAGAGCACCGGCTCAGTCATCAGCTGCCCTGTCCATAACCCAGCTCCCTGATAATGCATCTGGGTAGGGAACAGAAGATGATCCAAGTGCTTGGGCCACTTCCACACACATAGGAGATATTGATGGAGTCTCTGGCTCCTGGCTTTAGGCAGGCTCAGTGTTCATCATCATGGCCACTTGGAGATGAACCAGCTGGTAGAAAATTGTGTGTGTGTGTACATGTGCATGTGTGTCTCCTTATCTCTCTGTCACTCTGCCTTTCAAATAAATAAGTCCTCAAAAATAAAATAAGAGCAAGTAAATGGGGAAAAAATAAAAAATGAGTGGTTCCCAGTTGTCATTTAGGAGATAAGAGTAGGAAAACAGGTTTTGGAAGGAAATAGCCAAATGTTAAATTTCACTGTGGGGCTGGTGCTGTGGCATAGCGGGTAAAGCTGCAGCCTGCAGTGCCAGCATCCCATATGGGCACTGGTTCAAGTCCCGGCTGCTCTACTTCTGATCCAGCTCTCTGCTGTGGCCTGGGAAAGCAGTAGAAGATGGCCCAAGTCCTTGGGTCCCTGCACCCACTTGGGAGACCGCGAAGAAGCTCCTGGTTCCTGGCTTCAGATCGGCGCAGCTCCAGCCATTGCAGCCAACTGGGGAGTAAATAAGCAGATAGAAGACCTCTCGCTCTAGCCCTAGCTCTATCTCTGCCTCTCCTTCTCTATTTGTATAACTCTTCCAAATAAAATAAATAAACCTTTAAAAAAATTTCACTGTGACTGTTTCATTTTTACCTGACTATCCTAATTCTTTCATCAAATAAGCCAAATCATCCAGTCTGTTGTCTCCGCCTTTCTCCAGTCCCCCTAAGAGTTTCAACAATCCCCTGTGCCCAGTGCCTTGCCTGGTTGGGTTGGTTCAGATGCTGCAGCTTCAACATCAGCCTGTCTGCCTCGAGCCAGGCCCCCAGCTGCTGTACCTCATCTACCTGGCTTCGCGGGTCAGGTCCTGTGTGCCCACAGGCACTGCAGTGTTTTCCCTGCCAAGGCCTGCAGCAGCCCTGGTTTTCCTTTAGATGCTGGAGTTTCAGAAACTCCATGAGCAGGTGCATGCTCGGTCT